GACTGGGGCACCACAGCGCTCTTTTGAGGTGTTACTGAATCCTCGTTGAAGGACAAAACTGTGCATTAACATCTTTGTTGTTTGTGTGAAAGATTTCAGCTGGGAGAGGTTTGACAGAAAAGCTCCTCTCTCCTGTTTTGCAGTGCGAATCGTCTGCTCTCTGCTTGGGAGAATAAATTTATCGTCTTGAGCTGTAGAAACTGGTTTCCCAGCTGCATTCCTAATTTAATGTTGTGGCTTTGGTGAATGGTTTGGCTTTTAGGGTCGATTAATAGCAAAACTAATAGATATTACCAAGCCTCAATTATTATTTGTTAGCTGATATGGCTGATTTAATTTACGATCAGATATAGTAGAAAAGCACCATCCACTAAGAACCCTACAAAAGAAGACAATTTGTCCCATCCAGACTATTTGATCGTTAGTAGCTCATTGTTCCCTGGATCTCATTTAGCTGTTTCTTGGAAGGAACCAGGGCATCGGCTTCCACAACATGTCCAGGTAGCTTGTTCCACGCCCCCACTACCCTTTGTGTAAAGAAGTGCTTCCGGTTCTCAGATGTAAATACCCACCCATTTAATTTTCACTTGTATCCACTGGTTGGTGATAAACTGATCACATTCATGCTGTAGAATATGCGTGAGGCACTAATTTGGAGCTCTTATTCAATTCACATCGATGACACAATTGAATTCAAAGGGTATTTCATTTGGGCACTATGGTGTTGCAGGGGTGAGCACCACTGTCTCACGGCACTGGGGTACAGGGTTCAGTTCCTGGGGTGCTGTCTGTGTGGAGTCTGCATGTTCTCCCCAGGTTTGTGTGGGTTTCCTCCCACAGTCCAAAGACATGCTGGTGGGTTAATTGACTTTTGGGAAAACTGGCCCTGGAGTGAGTGTGTGTGTGTGCTCTGTGATGGACTGGTGTCCTGTCCAGGCTGTACTCTTCCTTGCACCCTTTGCTTGCCAGGATAGACTCCTGAATTTGAAGAAGTGGTTAGAAAATGGATGGATGCCATGGAATTCGGTTCCATTTTATTCGGAGGACTGATCCATTACACTACTGCTCCAGTATGACAGCAGACAAGACAGCAATTAACTAAGCTCTGCACCAGTTCATTAACAATGGCAGTGTGAAAGCCAAGAAAATCCAAAGGGAGGTTAAATGAAGAGAAAAGCTAGCCAGAGAATAAGACAAAGCAAAGCACCAGGTTTTTAGATGCTAGAAATATTGGAACCAGAATTCATGATGAAGACGCTAGGGTTTTAGAGAGCATTTCTGATACAATTGGGATCACAAAAACATAGCCAACTGAAAATACAAGAGATTAACACAAGGTGCTCTGGTGAGACACAAAAGCTTAAAAAGTGATTGGTAGCATAGCACTGTAGATCAAAAATAGTGTTCAGGTTCAGGAACTAAAGATTGAACAATCAAGAGTCTCTGAAACTACCTGGACCAGACTGTTCAACAAACATTCCACATTTATAGTGTTAGGCGTGTGGTGGACCACCAAATGCACATAGTAATTAGAATTCGACAGTGTCCCATGAAATTCAGACTTTTTGTTTGGAAGACATAGTTTTGAAGGGAGACTGCAATTTACCACCCGGTAGCTGGGAAAACCCTTTAGGGGCAGAATCACCGAACCCTGAAGTGGTAGACATACAGTAGTTGATGATTGCTTTCTTACCCTCTTTGTTAGAATGCCTACAGTACCTAGCTCACACAATTCTCCTCTTTTCAAACACTCGAAGCAGAGTGAATTGTAAACTGAGGGATATGTGTATTGTGTATAGTTTTAGTCGTCATGTTGTAAAAAATATTGTTGTGCTGGAGATACATTCCAGTGCTTAAAGGAATGCCTGACACTGAAGGAACAGAAGCTTTATAGTGCTGAGTAGAGAAAATCATGAGGGGAACCATTACAAGTATTTAAATTCCTCATGGGTAAAAAAAGTCAAAACCGTCAGAATTAACAGTGAAACATGAAACCAGAGGACATAACTGGGCACTGTGTGAAAGTGCCTTAAAATGAGAAATGGAACAGGAGGCATTTCTGTATGCAAAGGGTGGCAGGGGTATGGAACAAACTACCCAGTCATGTTGTTGAGGCCAAAACTTCTCCCAGCTTCTTGTAGGAAACAGTTGAATGAGATCATTGGTTTACAAACTAGCAAATGAGCTAAATGGGCCAAGCTCTCATCTGTAACCTGCTTATGGTCTTATATTTATGCAAAAGACAAAGTAGTCGCACACTAAGGAAAAGGAACAGCTCTCTCTCCTGACTGGGCACGGGGAGAAAGTAAAAACCATAATCAATCAGTAAATATTTACATCACCAACCCAATATAGCAAAGCAAACGTTTCCATATTAATTAGTCTATGACGTTACTTCAAACAGACAAGCACTGCAGTCCCTCTCTGGGAACACAGTCAAAATCAACAATCACTTTAGCAGCTATGTTTCTCTCCTTTCCCCTCTCTCTCTCTCTTAACACCTCATGAGGTGGGGAGACAAAGGAGAAGAAGCAGAGAGCCAGTCAGACTCCCATTGCGCAGCAGTCTGATCCATCTAGGGTTTTTTCCCTGTGGGAGGCTCTTGTGAACCAGCCCACGCTGGGTACTGGCTATGTCTGACCCGCCAGGTCGATCGGGAATCATTCCAGCGGAATAAATGGAGTCTGCTCATTGAGATCTTGGCAGGACATCCTTCTGGTAGACAGGTAACGGTGAAACACTGTGGCCCGGTGAAGAAGGTTCCCCGTGAGAGAAGATCTGTTCAGCCCCTCATGTGTTTTTAGTTTTAGTAGCTCATCCAGTCATAGAATTGTCTAGTTCCTGAAGAATCCCAGAATGTAAAGTCTTCCTTTGGTAGCTCACTGTAAGCTGTGCTCTTTTGCGACAGGCCTGACTCTGACCCGCCAATAGAACAGTCCTGATAGGTGCAAGGACCTATCCCCACTTATATTGCAAACTAATTTAGTCAACCCTGCGTCAGAATGTGGCTCAACTCTCACCCCTTCACTAATGAACTAATTAGTCAATGATTATTTCACATGTGAACCTGCACACAAACAAGAGAGGCTGTAGCACCCTCTAGTGTTTGGCCGAGTCTGGAGGAAAGCACTGTCCTCGCTATTGCTGGCCGGCTGCAACTCCATGTGATCGTCCGTTAGAGCCACTTCATCCAGTATTCAGTCGCAGGGGAGCCCGAGTCTCTCCCAGTCTGGGAGGAAACCCACAGAAACCCGGGAAGAACATGCAGACTCCACACAGACAGCACCTCAGGAATTGAACCCAGGTCCCCAGTGCAGCGAGGCAGCAGAGTCAACAACTGCACCTCCATGTTGCTCTCCATATAATCCACGTGATGTTAAACCTCACTGTATCTATCGGTGATCCAATGGGAATACCCACTCATCCTAGTCAGCTGTCGGTTCCCCAAACAGCAGGGCTCTAAGCACTTGTGTCTGGAGCCGTGTGCACAAATGAGTGTGTCCTACACAACAAATCAGGCCACTCGGCTCCAGAAGTGTCAAAAGGCACTGCCCAGCTCCGCTGTTTCCTCTGGAGTCTTTCCACTCTGAGCAAACTGGAGGGTTTCATGAGCATGGGTGTTAGACGCTCTGTGCCACCCGTGGGCATGTTAGATGTGCTCGAAATGTATCTAAAACCGATTATGGAGAAGATGGATTCACTTCTGACCAGCTTTTATTTCATTTGTGCTGGCAGAACAGCATTTTGTCTTCCACGTGACATTGTGTTGCTAGGAACTCGCTATTTAAGTACAAACCATCCAGTAATATTTACACAGATGCTTCACTCGTCTTGCATTGGCCTTGAAGAACAATAGATTGCTTTCTAGTTCTGCTGTAGTTCAGCTGTAACTCATTTCCTCCAAATGATTGAGTGCCGCAGCATCACTGAATACCACATTCAGAGAAATGGCGCAATGAGGCTAGGTTTACGAAGTTAAATGGAAAACAAGGAGAGAGAGGGTAATATTAATCGTCTTGGTAGTTTTCCATCTTTAGCATGGACAAGCACAGTATGGAGAAAAGCGGGATTAGAAATTTGTGCAAGTCCTTGAGGAAATAGAGATGACAGTTCACCGCTGCAGAGTTTAGCCTGCTGCGTGGGTGACAGTCACGGTTCCGCGCGGGGTCGTGCCCCCCGCCGCCTGTTCCGGCCCCCACACCTGGGCCGCGAACCCGGGTCTCTGGCGTAACACAACAGGGCACCAACCGGGTGAGCTAAAGGAGAGTGCACCCAGCCCAGGCAGCTGGGGACCCTGCTACATGCAGTGTGGGCACTGATGTCACCACAGTATCTCCGCTACACCTGTCACACATGATTTTCTCCATAAAAAGGCAGCAAAGCATAGGGGATGAGCAGGAATCCTCACAAAGTACGCTCGTTTTGTTATTCGGATTTATGACACACTGCGGTGGACTGGTGTCCTGACCAGGGTGTATCCTGCCTTGTGCCCGGTGCTTGCTGGGATAGACCCTGGCTCCCTTACAACCCCGAACTGGATGAAGAGGTTAGGAAAAAGATGGAAGAACGATGACAGACCTTATTGTGTTCGCTGATTCGGGGAGTCAAACGGCAGTGTGACGTCAGATGTTGGATTTTTTTTTATTGAGGAACAAACGAGCTCTATGAGCTTTCATTCCGGCTGATCAGTTAATGAGCTGCACCCCTAACCGAATCCATCATTTTTGCTGAATTTTTTTTTTATAGTTTTGTGCTGTTTTGAGTTGTCAAGTATACCCCCTTTTGTGCAACCTCTCCTTTGAGCTCCCAAAACGCTTGAACGGCGTGAATGATCTGGAATTGGGGACCCACAAAGTGCACCTGGGCTGTGCTGGTGGGCCAGCAGGTGGCGCCCTTCCTAACCCTTTCTCTCTCACACACACACACCTCATTCTTGATCCTAAACCGAATGGATTCCCCCCTCCCTCCTCACTCATTCTCTTGTGCCCCTCTCTCCTCAGTGTCACCAGGATGGGCAGCTTCTGTGTTTTGGGGGTCCTCCTCCTGTCTCTGGCTCCAGCCGGCCGCTGCAACAAAGGTGAGATCAGCCCGATTTAGGAACGGAATCCCAGTTGTCCATCTTCATCCCTCCCCCCCCCATCACTACCAAATGGCTCCTTTCTGGGCCAGCGCAGGCCCGGTTCCATCTCGTGTTTCCTATCAATTATTGGGAAAAGGGAAAGCAAAGACTGGCAAACTGCCAAAGGTGTTCTCCACAGTGGCTGTATGAATGCTGGCGGAGGTTTAAATATCATGCATTTCCTTCCCAGGTTAATTAGCAGCGATCTCTGACCGTCTCATCCTCCTCTGCGTGGGCTGTGGCGGCGGTGGTGTCTGTATCAGTGGCCCTGTTCGATTAACTGTCGAGATTAACTGCCGCCCTGCCAGTTAGATTAGTTGTAGCAGGAGCAACATGGTTACCAGTTATTGCTGATGTTTTGGCGATGGCTCTTGCACGCGCTACCAGCGCATAATAAAATGCTCGGCTGCTGTTGATTGCAATGCATGTGGAGAGGCAGTCGCCCCGGAAAGGGGGAGAGGGGGCAGATTGTGGTCTAGAAATGAAAGGAGATGGAAAAACGGGGAGAACGAGAGAGGGGCAGATCTGGGAGGGGGAAGAGAGAGGAGAGACTCCAGGCTCAGAGATCCACAACCAATCTGTTGGGTGGGATCCGGTCGGAACAGATTGAGAGGGAGAGACAGGGGATTGAGGGATTGAAGAAGGTAAGAGCACTGGAGGGAGGGGGGAAATGAGAACAGTGTTTTTATTGGGAAATTTCCTGTAATCCAGGATGTAATCGCTCTGCCTGATGGGAAGATTAATACAGTAATACTGCGTAATCTGAAGTGAGGGGGCAGGATTGGACGGGGAAAAGGGAGAAGGTTAATGTCGGGGAGGGACAGAGTATCTAGCCAGCGGGGGAGAGGCACAGACGGAGATGCACCTCCCTGGGATGAGACAAACCACTCTCCCCCTAAAATAACACATCGAATCCCAGAATCCCCGGACTGGCCAGGGGCAAAAGAGCTTCCAATCCTACTGGGAGAGGAAACTCATTAGAGCCCGTCGCAGCGCGAGGAGCAGAGAGTGAGCCTCTGTGTTACAGTCCGAAATGCTCGGGAATGTTTGCCGTTTGTTGCAACAGTGTTGGGCAGCCCCTTCGTTTGGCAGTGCCCGCGCCGAAGCTCTTTGAATGGGACAGAAGCAGAAGGCAGGGTTAGAGAAAACAGGTCTGATGGAAGAGAGCGTCCGCAAGATGTCTTCGCTGTGGGGGGGTCAGATCTGTTGTAATCAATGCCGGCGATCGGCTCAACCGGGCAGCAGGTGCTAATTGGGTTTCTTGTACGCGAGGGGCGATCGGTTGTCGACGTGGCCACACTTGTCAGCGAGAGAGCCCATTCTGACCTCCCGCGGCCCGACCCCCTGAGGTTAATTCCCTCTGTGAAGTGGTTGTCTATATGGAGAAGACATCGTGAAAGGCGCTATAGGCAGCATGTGTACGATTGCGTTGTGAAAGTCGCGTTGCTTTCAGGATGAAAAATTTCATAGGATCCCGATCCCAGTGGCAAATTATAAACCTCAGGCCGCCGGGTCCTGTGTTCGCTGTATATTTCTCTTTTATTTGTTTAGACGTAGTGGATAACAATATCAGTTAAAGGTTTTGGAAGGGCCCATCAATGGGCTTACTGACATGGTAAAAGGTATGCATTTTACCTGCTTAACACGCGAGTTCTGTCGGGCTTTACTGATTTTTTCATTGATAATTCTGATTTGTGTTCTTTCCTCCGCTAGTGAAATCACACCCTTTAAAAACATTTTAGCCAGCAGGTAGGGTGTCCTTGAATGTTCCGCCACACAACCCTCTGCGACATTTCTCTCTCGTTCAGTGCTCAGCCAATCAGCAATGTCTTATTTTAGTTGCTCAGCCGGTGAGGACACCACTCAGCCGACAGCCAATAAGCATGCCCTTTGTTGTTTGCCCAGCCAATAAGCATGCCCTTTGTTGTTTGCCCAGCCAATAAGCACAAGCCGTGGATCGAGACCGAGTACCAGGGGATAGTGATGGAGAACGACAACACGGTCCTACTGAACCCCCCACTCTTCGCCCTGGACAAAGACGCCCCCCTGCACTACGCAGGTACAGTTTCATCCCACCTGCGAATCTTTCTGTGCCACTGCACATCTTCCACCATTTTTGTTTGCCATTTCCTAATCAATTCATTTTTCATTTTTGTTGCGTCTCATTTTTTCTAAAGCCAGGCGGCTCAGTGGTTCAGCGGTCAAGGTGACCGGCTTGTTCCCAGCAGTCTGTAGTTCAATCCCACGCCTGACACCACGGCTACTGCTCTGCCACTGCCATAAGAGCCATTCCGAGCAAATTCTTTGCTTGAGCTTTACTCCACTGATGAGGCACAAAACCCAGATTATGGGACAACTGATTCTGCAAAAGGAGGAGAAGAGTGCCGATCTCTGGAAATGTTTTGCAGGAAACAAAACACCTGCAAACGATGTCGAATGAATGTTAGGGTCGAAAAAAAGGACTAGTACTCTCCAGGCACTCTGCGGGTGGTCCCGTGATTTATTAACCTGTTCCTCTCCCGCTCTCGGTGTGTCCCAGGGGAGATCTGCGGGTTCCGGGTGCACAGCGGCGGCGGGTCGGGCTCCAGTGCTTTCGAGGCGGTGGTCCTGGACAAGACGACCGGAGAGGGCCTGATCCGGGCGAAGGAGCCGCTGGACTGCGAGAGCCAGAGAGAGCACACTTTCACGGTCCAGGCGTATGACTGTGGGGAGGGGCCCGATGGCACCAACAGCAAGAAGTCACACAAGTGAGTGTGAACCCCTGGGGGCGTGTCTGATACAGTGAGAGAGAGAGAGGGAGCGATGCCAGTGAGAGGGGAAGGTGGTAACACTGCCACTTTGCACCCAAGCTGGAGGATGAGGCTGTAGGGCAAGGAGGAGAGAGAGGCGCAGCAACACAGCGCCTCTGCACACAAGGTATAGGGGAAGGAAAGAAGAAGAGAAAATGGAGAGGAAAAAGGAAAGATACCGCAGGGCTCCAGATTTCTTCAAAATCAACCAATCGGAGGACACCAGAGGACGTGCGTGCAAAACCGAGAACGGCTGGCACTTCTTTACACAAAGACGTGTGGGGATATGGAACGAGGCGTGTTGCTGAAACCAAAGCCCTGGCGTCTTCCAAGAAAATAATTGAAATCTTTGAAATGGATTTAGTTTCTAACCCAGTGAGCTACAAGAGTCAAATGGGCTTCTCTCATTCGGAACCTGCCTTATGTTGTTAGATTCTCCAGATCTCTGGGCACGGTGTTAGTTATTATACCTGTAAATGAGAAAATGCATCTATGTATATACAGAGCATGCACAAATGTCTACATCCAGAAATATGTGCATAAAGGTCTAGGAGCTGCTTCTCCTTATGTTTGTACTTTTTAATATATGGGGCTGACATCTTCAGCTGAGCAGAAAATGCTCAGGAAACTGAATCTGCAGCGAGGGAGTACAGAACAGGGAGAAGAGGAGGAGACTAAGCAACATCCAAGGGAACAGTGAGATAAGGAGGTCAAGGGCAGATGGGAGAGAGGGGTGGGGGGAGGAGTACATACAGGGAGAGAGAGGAGCCGCTTTCCAGTATCAGGTGTCTCTCTACAGCAGTGGCTCTCCGTTCTCGCCCTGTGGGACCAGTGTGCTTTCTGGGTTCTGCTCTGCAGAAGTTGATCTCGAGTTTCTGTTTCGGTTGCGTTTTCATGTTTGTCTTTCAGCTTGTAAAGGGGCTGTATTGGGGTTTGTCATTGTTGACAACCCTGCTCCTGGTTTCCCACCTCCCTTCATTTAGGTGTGTGAGATAAAGTGTAATCAACTGGGCCTGGGCAGAAGCAACAAACAAACAGTCATTGAGCGCGTGTCTGATACAGTGTCACGCCCACTGTGAACGTGTCTGATACAGGGTCATGCCCACTGTGAACGTGTCTGATACAGTGTCATGCCCGCTGTGGGCAGGTCTGATACAGTGTCATGCCCGCTGTGGGCAGGTCTGATACAGTGTCATGCCCGCTGTGGGCAGGTCTGATACAGTGTCATGCCCACTGTGGGCGTCTGATACAGTGTCACGCCCACTGTGAACGTGTCTGATACAGCGTCATGCTCACTGTGGGCGTGTCTGATACAATGTCACGCCCACTGTGGGCGTGTCTGATACAGTGTCATGCTCACTGTGGGCGTGTCTGATACAGCGTCATGCTCACTGTGGGCGTGTCTGATACAGCGTCATGCCCACCTGTGTCTATTTGTCAGAAATAGGGGGAGAGTTAAGGACGGATTGTAAACTCTAAAGTTCTGTAGCTGAATTTGAAATTAGTTGATTTAGCTAGGATAGTTTTGAAACCAAGTGAGAAAAAGTCTAAATTAAGCAGATCAATGAGAAGTGCCAATCAGCCCTGGTGATGAAGGACCAAGCAACAGGAGACACAGCGGTCTCCCAGGACCAGAACTGAGAATCACTGCACTAGGCCGTATGTTGAAGTCCATATTTACTACAGTTTTACTCTTCAACTACCCCTCTACTCTTATCTCCCAGGGCGACAGTGCATGTGCGTGTGAACGATGTAAATGAGTTTTCGCCGGTGTTTGTGGAGAAGCAGTACCAGGTGTCAGTGTCAGAAGGCCGGCTGTTTGACCGAATTCTGCGGGTGGAGGCTCTGGATGGGGACTGCTCCCCGCAGTACAGCCAGATCTGCTTCTATGACATTGTCACACCCAACGTGCCCTTCGCCATCGATAACGACGGTGAGAGAGACGTTCGCACTGCGCACGCACACAGCACTACGCCAACACTACAGACAGGGAGGAAAAGAGGTGCAGGTGTGGTCTGAGGGCTAGACACACAAAGACTGGGGAGTGGAGAGAAACAGAGGGATCGAGGAGAGATTGGAGAGAGGAAGATAGAGGAGGAGGAGGAGGGAACGTTCCCTGGGCAGAATCAGTGTCACTCGTGGGCAGTTTGATTTCAGCACCTTGGTCAGCATCACACAGCTGTGGGAGAGAGGAAGATCCCATAGTTTCATAGTCATCAAAGGACAGTGTCTTGGAGTGAGACCAGAGGAATAGAGGGAGCTCCTACTGTAGTCCTCTAGAGTTCAGCAGCTGGGACAGCACCAGAGTGAGACCAGAGGGATAGAGAGATCCTTTGACTTTACAGTTGTCTAGAGTTCACTTCGGAGTTCCTCAGACAGCACCAAAGTGCGGACAGAGGCAGGTGGGAACAGGGGGAAAGGGTGAAAGAAGAGTTGCTGGAAACAGTGGCTGAGGGATTGATGAGGCACAACACAATGAGTGACATGAATGGATTAGGAGCCCAAGGGAAGTTTAAAGACATGTCACTTACACTCAGGTAATACTATATACATAAACATTCACCTGGATATTAAAGCTTATACATAGGTTTGAGTTCTGAGATCAAGCACACCGTACAGACTTGGAACTCATTCCTCATTTCTGGAGTTATCAGGACAGTCAGCAGATCTTGATTAATATCCTTCCTCCTCTGCCGCTGTCCAACAGGGAACATCAAGAATACAGAGGTCCTGGACTCTCGGCGGCAGCGGTTCTATCGTTTCACGGTCACGGCATTCGACTGTGGGAAGAGCCGAGCCACAGCCGATGCCGAGGTCACCGTGGAGGTCAAGCCGACCTGCAAGCCTGGCTGGATAGGTAATCGTTGTGATGACCTTAATCATGGCAGCAATACTGATTATTTGTCCTGCCACGATGTCTTTCTCTTCAGACATCTGCGCTGTCATCTTTTGAAACTCAGGAGCTTCCAAAGATAGTGAAGGGAATCAGGTTTATAAAAACAGGTGATGTACGGGCTCCTTGATTCTCTATGACAGCTGATTTAACTGCCTTACAAAATACCTAGACAGACAGATGAAAGAGAGCATAACTTACAGACAGAAATATGTCATCCATGCATACAAACAACTTCTCCTCCACAAGGTACAATTTTAAATATTTCAATAAACAGACGTAGCACATCTTTTGAGTTCTTTTGAGTCTTTCGGTTCCCTATTTGAAAGTAGGCAGCACTGAATTTTGCTGGTTAATCTAACACAGATGTATTATTCTTATTTAAAAGAAAACGTCCACCAGTGTGTGGCTAGTCCATTATGAAAGAATATGGAGTCCTGGCCAAACTGAACCAGAACCACCAGCTGTGAGGGTGTGCGATTACCATCATTAATATACACAGCACCACCTGGTGGCACACCAGAGTTAGTCCTTCACCCTGCAACTCAACAGTCCTGTTTGTGGTCCTGTGAAACTGTGGACTTGCTGGCCAGTGGACATGAGCGCCAATCTGAAAGCAGGCAGCAAAACTGAACACTGCAGGGCTTCAGTATTAGGGTTTCCCCCCTGGTCCTTTAATTCCCAGACATACAGAGGCAGCACCGCATTTCAAAGGTGTGACTAGAGAAGGAGAAATGAGTGGTTTTGAAACACATTCAGGGGGTAGATATCTAGAAGACACTGCAATGGAACATTTTTCCATAACATTTTCTATGTGACTGCTAGCTCTTCTGTGCTGTTTGGTCTCAAGTGTTTTATTTTGTGTTTAATCCCATTGATTTATTGAATAAAAGCAAGGAAAATGTGAAGACGGACACAGTGTGTGTTCGGCTCTGTTGCTAAGCAATAGGAAATATATATCCCATCTGTGCTGTGAAAACACGCATTGTAGCAGAACTATCCATAGTCTTACTCTCCTCCGGAGTGATTCACAGTGGCTTTATTCCCTTGAGGAAAGGGCTGTGTTTCCGTTACACAGAATGTCATGCCCACCGCCCCCACCCCTCTGCCTCTCACTCAGGGTGGTCGAAGAGGGTGGAGTACACCCCGGGATCCGGCGGCGTGCCCCTCTTTCCCACGCTGCACCTGGAGACCTGTGAGGAGCCCGTGTGGAACATCCAGGCCACCGTGGAGCTGCAGACCAACCACATCGGGAAGGGCTGCGACAGGGACAGCTATTCCGACCGCTCGGTCCGGCGGCTGTGCGGTGAGCCGCGCCGGCGCTCTGTCTCTCGCTCTCTCCCGCTCCCTCGTTCGGCGATTCAGAACGAGGCAACGCAACTTCTGGTGAGGTGAAGCGGCCCTATTGCACTGTAAACAAGCAGGCTTGTGAATCCCTCTCTTTTAACCCAGGAGAACTATTGCTCTCCACTTCGAGTTTTGTCGACAGATACTACTTGTTCGTTAACTCTGCCTGCAGATCACGCTGGAATATTTCTGCGGGGAAGTATCTGCTGGACAACCTGTACCTATTCGCTCGTCCATCACAGCACATCAGTCATTACAGGGACTAGTGAGCAGGAAGGGCCGCCTCACGATCACATTTCTCGCAAACTCTCGCTCTCGCCCCTTGGCGAGACCAGGGGTTTGTGACAACATGACGACTTACAGTATGATTTGCTTAATTTGGAATTTGTCAAGTTTTGCAAGTGAATTTATTTTGTTACCAAGATTTAATAACCAGTCTGAGAAACTGGGACTGCAGTTTCCCTTCAATCCCCTTATCACTCTCACTTGTTGCTGATGTATGGTAGTATCCAGTAAGTAAGTCAATTTCTCGGCGTGTTTCCAGCAGCTCCTCCCTTCTCTCCCTCTCATTGGCCGTGCTGCTAGGCTGTGGTGTCCATGTTAACCTCATTCTCTCTCTCTCTCGTGCCTCTCTCAGGGGCGGTCCGAGGGGAAGTGGACCTGCTCCCTCCCCCTTCTCCTTCCACCAATTGGACCGCCGCGCTGCCCACCCTGCCCTCCCCTGATTCGTCGCTCGTGTTCTCCTTCAACAACTCCGCCCATGTTGCCGTGGTGCCACCCCGGGCGGTCGCCATGGTGAGCGGAGACCACTTCACCCTGCAGCTGTGGATGAAGAGAGGGGGCGGGGCCCTGCAGGGAGGCCCAACCAATACGGGACGGGGAGCCAAGAGGGAGGAGGAGACTATCGTCTGCAACACTGTCAAGAATGGTGAGCCTCTTAGCCAGTCAGTGGCCTCTATGGTCTGGGCTGTGTTAATGTACTGTTGTGTTGGTGTTCTGTCAGAAGGGGTGTCTCCATTGATCCTCCCTCTTCTTCTTCTCTTCCTGCAGATGACTCGTTCTCTCACTACTCTCTCTCTGTGCATGGGTGTCGTCTGTCTCTCCTGTACTGGCCTGATCTTGGAGCTGCTCGTCCTGTCAAGTTCCTATGGAAACTGGAGCAGGTGAGGCGGCACTGGGTTGTTCTGGTGGGGCTACTGACGGACTGGAGAGACTGGAGTGACTGGAGCTGGATTTGACTGACTGGAGCCGGACTGGAGCCGGACTGGAGCCGGACTGGAGCCGGACTGGAGCCGGACTGGAGCCGGACTGGAGCCGGACTGGAGCCGGAGCTGGGGCTGCACTGCAGTGACTGAAGCCGGACTGGAGGTGGACTGGAGTTCCCGGCTGCTCCTTCTCCATTAACTAGCCAGGATAACAGAGCGAACTGGTTACGATTTGTGCAGTGATGCTGCTGAAAAAGCTCAGTATACTCTGCGCTGGTCTCCCAGTTCATCGGCGCCCTCAACAGCCGATCCTCCTGTCTGCAATAACGCCACCTCCGTCCCTGTTTCAGGTGTGCGATGGCGAGTGGCATCACTTTGTTGTCAGCGTGGAGTTCCCTGCTGTGACGCTCTACGTTGACGGCGTGACCTTCGACCCCGCGCTCATCCACGACAACGGCCCCCTGCGAAGCCCCACCCCCCGCCCGCGGCTTTTCATCGGAGCCTGCTGGGGTACGAGCTCCACGGCTTTACTGCTGCTGCCGCAGTGGGGTGGATCGCCCCCACATGGGGGGAATTAAGAGGGGCAGTAGGCAATGGGGTGGCCATTGAGAGCCATCATCGTGTCTAACGCTTTAACCTTCCTTGTCCAGAGATATTAATTGTGTAATGGCAATTGTCATGGGACGTCTTTTCTGGGAAATGTAGTTCAACCAAGATCTGGCCTCTTGTCTAAAATGACTTCCCCTTTACAATAAGATCGTTTGCACATGGTGGGGCAGAGGTCAGCACTGCTGCCTTGCAGAACTGGGAGCCTGGGTTCAATTCCTGGATTGCTGTCTGTGTGGAGTCTGCATGTTCTCCCGGTGTTTGAGTGGGTTTCCTCCGGGTGCTCCGGTTTCCTCCCCACAGTCCAAAAGACATGCTGGCGGGTTAATTGGCTTCTGGGAAAACTGGCCCTGTTGAGTGTGAGTGTGTGCGTGTGCGTCTCTGCCTTGCGCCTGTTGCTTGCTGGGATGGGCTCGGGCTCCCCAGGGTGACCCTGAATTGCTCATCTGCTCGGTTGCTTGGTGCCTGACTGACCCTCAGAAGGTCTTCCATCCTCTTGTCGAAGGACCCCAGAAAAAATTTTCAACAAAACAGCTTGTTCCAGACACCCATCGCCCCATCTTCAGCCTTAAATAGATCTCTCTTCATTTCTCGTTGTGCCCCAAACTTATCATTGTATCTCTAGACCATTGAGGTTTTTTTCCTTGCACTCTTTTATAAAGGAGATATCGTTGTCTCTCCTACAGTTTCCGATGACAAAGAGAAAGACCTCCAGAACAGCACTTTAGCAGAGACAGGGGAAACAGGTGAGTAAATACTGCTTCTCTGTTTGGTCAGCTTCCAGCTCTACAAACACACCATGTATATTAATAATAGACCATCTGTACTGTCTCTCCCTCTTACTGCACTATCCAAAGTGCCCCTATTGTCTCTCAGGATAGCTGTGTTGAAATTAATTGTTGTTATCTCTCTGTCTCACCTCCCAGGATATTACCAAGCCCATTTTCGGGGTCTCCTGGCCGGGGTCACCCTGCGCCCCGGCAGTGTGGAGCCCCACAGTGTCGTGGAATGTCTGTACGCTTGCCGGGAGGGGCTGGACTTTGGGGACCTGGAGTCTCTGGGCACGGGCATGAAGGTCAGGGGTCAGGCTATCGTTTGTGTGTGTGTGAGGGTATCCACAAAAACACATGGAGAGGCCCGACCAGCACTTACAGCACTACCACCAACCCTTTCTAATCACTTTAAAGAGATGGTATCATAATAATAATTGCTTACACTTACAGTATATAGCGCTTTTCTGGACATTCCACTCAAAGCTCTTTACAGGTCATGGGGAATCCCACTGTCACCACCAGTGGGCAGCATCCACCTGTGTAATGAGACAGCAGCCATAGTGTGCCAGAATGCTCACCACACACCAGCTCTCAGTGGGGAGGAGAGCAGAGTGATGAAGCCAGTTCAGAGATGGGGATTATTAGGAGGCCATGACTGGTAAAGGCCAGGGGGAAATTTGGCCAGGACACTGGGGTAACACCCCTACTCTTTTCAAGAAACTATCCTAGGATTTTTAATGACCACAGAGAGTCAGGACCTCAGTTTTATGTCTCATCTGAAGGACGGTGCCCTTTTACAGTATAGTGCCCCGTCACTATACTGGGACATTAGAACCCACACAGACCACATGGTGAGCGTCCCCTACTGGGCCCACTAACACCTCTTCCGGCTGCAACCTTAGTTTTTCCAAGGAGTCTCCCATCCAGGTACTGACCAGGCTCACACCTGCTGAGCTTCAGTGGGTTGTCAGTTGTGAGCTGCAGGGTGATATGGCTGCTGGTATATAAGGTATATGGACAAGAATGGATTAAAACCCATTGTCAGGAAATCATTAGTAGCTCTAACGAGTGTTGTTTCTGTATTGGGATTCAATCTGAGCCCATCCAGCTTATTTGCAGATACATGGGCTCATCACTGAATAGCAGGCTGCCCATTCTAGAACCTCTGCCACATGGATCAGCTAGAGAGTATTTGAAAAGT